ATGAGCTATGTGAGGGGAAAGATCATTCGGTATGACCCTAAGACTATTAACATGTTTATGCATGTTGAGTGGGATGGTGAGTAACTTTTGATGATGTGGAGAGGACATTATGTGTACTTGGAGGACGTTTCCAGAGGAACAGGAATGATGTGTCTGTTCATATTAAGAGATCATAGTTGACTACCTTGTCAAAATACTGGATGGCATTCACCCATGCCAATATTCAGCCGTGTTCTCATGTGTTTGATATTACTGTTCACAGGGCTATCTTCTTGTATTGTGTGATGAAAGGGCTTAATATTAACATTGGACAGACATTGGACAGGTCATAGCAAATGAGATTCAGACTTGTGCTAGTTCTGTGAATAACAAAGCACCTCTAAGGCATCCATCTTTGATTACACATCTGTGTAAGATACTAGGGTGAATACTTCTACACCACTGATGTAGTGACCAAGGAAGGAGATTGATGCTTCCTATTACAACCAGTATTGCCTGGTAGATGAGGCGGCTCAGTAGGTGCCACCACCACATCCTCCTAGAGTTCATAGGAGGGTACCACCACCAGCACAAGAACCACCTCAAGATGCATAGCCTTTTCAGATGAGGGATATGTATATGTCCCTGATGGAGTCTAGGATGCAGGCATTGCATAGAGGACAGGTGGCCACTGCAGAGATAATTATAGGGTTGTATGATACACCCCCTAGCTGGCAGTGGACTATGGATGAATTCAACACTATGGTGGGATGGCCAGAGGATCAGGCACAGGCTAGTGGAGCTGGAGCAGTTGGAGCTTCAGCTATGGAAGATGATGATGAAGATGATGATTATGAAGATGGAGAAGAATAAGAGGAAGATGATGATGAGGAGGAGGATTCAGATTGATGATGATAACATTTACTAATGAATGTTATTTGCATTAGAACATAATGTTTCTTATCTTTGTCTTATGAACATTATTTTGCTTCGGTTTTTAGAATAGGTGTGATGTACTCAATTCGAAACCTATATCTGATGTGGTGGTTTGATATTGATTTGTGTGTGATGAGTATTGCTTGATGATGCTTTGATATTGATTGATGTTGAGATGTTGCACAAGATGTTTGATATACAGGTGATTGTTCACAAACTTGTGAACAGATGCATGATGTTATGATTGTGGTTATGATGCTAATCAGGATGTATATGTGGTGTATGTCAAACATAAATTAACTTATGTGAGGTTTTGAACTCCAGAGTATTTGTTTGAGTGAATGTTTTTCTTTTGAAAGCATGAATGATATTGCCCATATTTCCATGATTGAACTAGTTGCTTACTTATGTCGCATGATCAAGGCCATTTTTTATTACCTTTTTTCTTAGCCAATGCATGATTTGTAGCCAAATTAAAAAGAGCATGAAGTGTTCTACCCTTTTTGAACCTCGAGCCTTAAACAGATCCCTTGTGAAAATATTTACCTTGAGTTAAGATGAGAATTATTGTGTGGTATTGATAAAGGTTCAAGTTTGGGGTTGATTGGGGTAATTGAAAAGGAAAATAATAAAAATCATTGAGCTAAGTGTTGAGCACACATGAAAAAGAGAAAAGAAAATAAAATGCAAAGAAAGAAAAGCTCAATGCAAAAAGGGGAAAGTTGGGGATGAGTGAGATTGGTTGCTCATAGAGAGATTGAACTTGAATGATGAAATTATGAATGACTCTCTTAACTCAAGGATTTTGTGATCTTGAAAGACCAATTTTTCTTCTTAGCTCAACCATGTTACGAGCCATAGAAAGTCCTTGTGATGAATATGATTGATTATGGTAAATGAAAGGCAATTTTGTTCTATGTGACATTGGGATAGTAGAGTGAAGGAGTGACATCTATATAAACATATGTGATTGAATGAAACACTTTGTCTGGTGAGGAAGAGTTCCATGAATACATGATTACATTTGTGCTTAGTTAATTGATCATTCATGAAGATAGCATCTATTGGATATTATGTGATTGTGTGAACATCATGATGAGTGATTTTAATCAAAGCATGTGCGCATCTTGACTGAATTCTATGTAATGAGTTGATTTGAGTAATTACTTGTCGTGGAAGAAATAGTTTTTGAATGTGTTGAACCATTGCATTGATTGGTGGAAGATTGAGTTATATCTTGTTTGCTTGAGGACAAGCAAAGTTCTAAGTTTGGGGTTGTGATAACGGTCAAAAAACCGTTATTTTTATATTTAATTATGATAATAAAAACACCCTTTATGACTTAGAAACTAGCTTGAAATCATGTTTTTGCTTCAGTTGTGAGAATAAGAGAGTTGGATTATGCTTGTTTTTCCTTGTTTTGACAAGAAATAAGATGAATTGGATGAAGAAGTTGAAGTAGCAAGGAGCTGGAGTCATGAAAGGCTGGAAAGTGGCACAAAGAAGAACCATTGTTTCACGCCTGGGCGCCACCGCTGAGCGCCATTCTGGAAGTGCAACCACTGTTTCACGCCTGGGCGCCACCACTGAGCGCCAACTTAGATCTGGAAGCATTGTTTCACGCTTGGGCGCCACCGCTGAGCGCTAGTTTGAGTTAGACAACATTGTTTCACGCTTGAGCGCCACAGTTGAGGGTCAAAAGAGTGCTGCAACTACCGCTGAGCGCCATTTTGGGATGCTGAGCGCTGACGACATGAGCTTGGGCTATTTTTCTATATTTTTCAGAAACTATTTAAAGTTTTGGACGTTCTAGGGTTCATATCTTTGGACATAAAGAGGCGAAATTACACTCCTGTCACCCCTCGGAGGCGGATTTTGGATGCGGAAGCTTTGATCTTCAACTTTTAGGGTTCTATCTTTCATTCTTTTCATTATTTTCATCTATTTTCACCATGTCTATGGTGAACTAAACCTCCATTGTTGTTGGAGAAACGATGTAATCCTTTGAAACTCTCATGTATTGAATTGATTCTTATTATAAAATGTTTTTCTTCATTATTTGTTAGGGTTTTTCCTCTTTACTCTATGCATGCTTTGTTTAACTCATTCAATTGCATGATCTTTGATTTTGTCACTATGGACACATGAGAAAATATAGAACTGGGGGAATTCTCCCAAAAGCAATATTACCTAGACATAGGGATAAGAGGGTTGGTTGCCTTTACGCTTCTATGCGAATGTAATGCATGATTAATTGCTAGGGAGACAAGACATTGTGAACTAGTAATTAGGAGCAGGCTTTCTTCATCGAGACATCGGGTTTAAGGTAAATTAGAAAGTGGCATTAACATTAATGAAGAAGATGAATTCATAAATACATGAGAGTGGATAGGATAAGTCGGAAACACCAACAACATAATCATTCATTATTTTATATCAATCACCTTTGCATCTTTCAATCCAATTGATCAAAACTTGCATGCATATTTATTTTTCGCAATACAAACACAATGATTTTGTTTAAAAGTCCTAATTAATCAAGAAACCATATGAAAGTTTAGACTGTGAGTCTCTAGGGAAACGATACTTGGTCTTACCAATTATTATTACTTTATAAAATTCGGTACACTTGTCAAAGTGTTAACAGTAGGCCAAACAGATATCCCACATCCATTTTGGCCTTCGCAGGCTTTGTTCGAAATTTGGATCTACGCTCCTTCACGTTCCTCCATACCAGAGATCAACAATAATGGAAGCAATGAAACTCAAAAGGAAAATGGGGAATAGACAAATGAAGGAAAAAGAACGAAAAAGAAGAAGAAATGAGAGGAAGTGAAATGGAAATGGAAAAGAGAGAAATTCATTAGAGATGGGTGGGGGTGCAGCTGGGCACAACAAAAATGAGTAAAAATAGGGTTTTCAAATTAATAAAAAAATCCTAAATTGTAAAAGTAAAAATGTTTTAACCTAAGGATAGAATTAGAATTAAAAGAATTTGGAGAGGTGGAGGAAGCATGGTGTGGTGGTGGAGGGAGCAACACTCTTCATCCATTGGTGTCTTGGCCCTCTGGAAGGCAATGGTCAAGCCCAATTTTATTTTTTTGTCATTGGTGTCTCGGCCCTCTGGAAGGCAATGGTCGAGCCCAATTTTTTATTTTTCAGCCATTGGTGTCTTGGCCCTCTAGAGGCAATGGTTAAGTCCAATTTTATTTTTCTGTTATTGACATCTCGACCCTCTGGAAGGCAATGGTCGAGCCTAACTTTATTTTTCAACCATTGGTGTCTTCGGCCTCTAGAAGGCAATGGTCAAATCCAATTTTATTTTTCTGCTATTGGCGTCTCCGGGCTCTGGAAGACAATGGTCGAACCCAATTTTATTTTTCAGCCATTGATGTCTTGGCACTCTAGAAGGCAATGGTGAAGCCCAATTTTATTATATCAAGCATAATTAATATATTTATCATAAATTAGTTAAATTAACATTGTTATAATAAATATATTAATTTAGTCTTGTCATAATTTTAACCTCTTTTCTATTTTTATATATAATATTAATATTCCAATGACATTCGATAATATTGGTAACATGAACGAGTACATCTAAATTAAATTATTGAATTTGTAACTTTGAATTTAGTATTCTTAAAAGATGTTTGGAGAGAAAATATACTTAATTCATTCTAAGAAAAGTAATTATGAAAATTAAATTAACCCTATGAAAAAATGATATTAGCCACACATTAAAACCAACCCTTTTACTAGTGATTTAGTTTGGCATATAGTTATACCATCATCTTATGTTCAGGTCTGTGAGTAAACTCAAAATCAATGTGAACAAAGGCTCTTTCAACTTGAGGAAGTTGCTCCAATTTTTCCTGCAATGTCTCACCAATGTTGTGTGCTTGACAGAGAGGCATATCTTCTGGCAACACTATGTCCACTTCAACAAAGTAATGAGCACCAAAGGTGTATGCTCTCACAGTGTCTATGTTCTTAACCTCTTCATGGTGATTCCATATCAGATATGTCAACTTTGCCAGAAAATCAGGTGGTGCTGTTCTTCCAATAAGAGACCACACATTCTCAATCACTGTCTTTGCCCATGTGCTAATTGTGTACACAGCTATCTGCATTGGATATTCAGGATAGCATACCAGGTCATCAGTTGCTTTATTTTACATTTATAGTAAAAAAACAATCATGCAACACAAGAATCATGTTATGAATGTTAGAGATTTCATATCGACTAAAATAAGACTAATTTACACTGTATAAAGGAACTTCAAACCTCATTTTACAAACAAATGAGTTAAACTTAAATTTTAACTTTTAAGATAAAATTAGAATCCTCTAAAGTCTATCATAATAAAATTTGTTATTTGTTGGCATATTCTATTTCACTACTCATTAATATTTAGTTCACACTGGATATATATATATATGTGTGTGTGTCAGTATGTAAAAATGTTACCGATTCTCTCATGTTAAAATTTCATGTCAAATTTTTAGAATTTGGGTTCTTTTCTTTGTGCATAAAATTGGAAAATTTGAGTTAGTCATTGAGGAAAATTTGATCTTTTTCTCTCATTCAGAAACATTGAACATGAGAATATCCACTTTGTCAGAGTTATGAACTCACAATAATAGCTCCCATTGGATCAATCCACCAAGAGTACTTCACAGCAAGCACAGCAGCAACTAATCCAACTGAGTTAGTGATAACATCAAAAAAATGATCTTGTGCATAGGCTCTGACAATTTCGTTCTTAAACCTTCGACAGTAGATCATGAGTACGAACTTCACTACAGTAACAGATGCCATAATACCGATCATCCATTTCAACTCTTGGGAATCCATTTCAGGCTTAGACTGTAAGATAAAGAATGAAGCAAGAAATTAAAAATTGATGAACTGATAACAAAATTTATGAAGCAGAATACTCAACTTTGCTACACTTAACACATCACATGAAAGACTAGAATCCAAAAAGTTTTCCTTATTCATCTGTTTCTTACTTTGTCCATTCCTACAATCACTTTATACTAACTCATTGGCTTGCTTCTAAGTTGTGTGGTCTGCATGAAATGTTGAAGGAGTGCAACCATAAAACCACAATTTTGAAAGAAAAAGTGAAATTATGATTTCAAGTACCTTCGTAATGATTTGTCTGCCAGACTCAATCAGAATCTGCAATCCCAAGGTTGCCATCACAGATGCAAAAACAATGATACCCTGCACAAATACAAAACCTTAATAAAAACGAATGTCTTCCAACAATGCAATGATTCTGAAGACACTCATCCAATTGTTGTCATTCATTCTCATGATCTATTCTAGACTAAATTTGAAGACTTGTGAGTGTTGTTTTTCTTGACCTTTTTGATTTTTATTCATGGTGGGACTTTGAACTTATACTTAGATTCCGAAGAACTTACCACCGGTTGCATCCTTTTCTTTCCAATGGGGTAGTGATACTGGTTTGGATTTCTCATGGCATAGGCAGTGAACCACAATATGAAGCCAGACAAGAGATCTAAGAGAGAATCCATGGTGGAAGCAATGACTGCTAATGATTTGCTCTGAATGGAAGTGTAAACCTTTGCTGCAAATAGCACCAAGTTAGCAGCATTCGACACATTCACTGCCAGTCTCTCACTTCTTGCTAATTGCTTCATTTCATCCTGATAAAAACAAAAAATAACCAATTTTTAAATTACCCTTTGAAATTTAAAGGAACAGTAACATTTTATCATGTCACAAAATGAGAAATTGTAAAAAACTATGATGCATGTAGTATACACATATGATAAGTGAATGGTGTTCAGAGAATAATCAACCTCAGTGAGACTTCCAGGGAAATAACCCGTTTCAGTCATCGAATCCATGTCATTATACCCTTCAAGAAGCTTCTCCTGTTTCTTGTAGTATTCTGCAACCTTGCGTTCCTTTTCTGAAACAAAAATTAACTATAATATTACTTGGAAGCAAACCACCTCAGAAATAAAGTTGAATTATAGAGTGCTGACAAACTGAGAATCTAACTATAAGTTCTACATTGAATAAAAAAAAATTAATATCATATAAAAGTATATAAAGATATCATAAATTAGATTGGAAGTAACGTGAATTTCTTACGTAGATTGAACACATATCTCATTATTTGTCTTTTTAATAAACCTCTTTTCATAAACCCATGATCATCATGTTACAATTTACCTTCTAGAGTCTAATATTACACTTCTCTCTTTTACCATTCTTTGTTTGTGTAGTGAATTTGATTAAGTGAATTACTTCAAGAAGGTTTTGTTCCAATAAATTAAATAATTTAACATTTCTAATTAAAGAATTGAAATAAAAATTAATTTAAATATATTTTTCTTTGACAAGTTAATACCCAACATAATCAAAATTGTTAACAATATATAACCGTTACTATTAAGTATTTTAACAAATTCAGAGGGTTTTTTTTCCTCTTTAAGACCAATGATTTTTGTTTCTTCTTCTTCTTAACATTTTAAGTAGAGCTGTCAAAATGGATCACAACCCGCGGGTCAACCTGGTCCACCACGGGTTTGAACCAGGTTGGGTTTAAAAAAATTGTATTTTTTTTAGTGGGTCAGATTTAAACCCGGCTCATTTAAACCCGACTCATTTAAACCCGGCTCATGCAGGTTGAACCCATAGTGGACCGGGTTGGCCCACCAAACCTACATACCTAATTTTATTTTATTAAAATTTAATTTTAATTTTATAAAAAAATATTTATTATTTTGTTTTTGTTTAAAAAAATTATTTAAGTTCTTTATTTTCAAAATTAATTAAACATGAAATTTGTTTAGATTTGAATTATAGAAAGTTTGT